CTACTTACTACTTACTACTTACTACTTACTACTTACTACTTACTACTACTACTACTACTACTACTACGACTACCACTACTACTACTACTACTACTACTACTACTACTACTACTAGCACTACTACTACTACTACGACCACGACTACGAGTACGACGACTACAACAACAACAACAACAACTACTACTACTACTACCTACTACTACTACTACTACTACACCTACCACTTACCACCTTCTACTTTTTTGATGACATCCCAAAAAAATGGGCTCAGGGCGTATAAAGTGGCTTATTAAAAAATTAAAGGACCGGATAACCCCACATATGAATCTTTACGAATCTTAAGTTTCGAAAGCACAAAGCAGTCAGAGTCTCAATAGCTTCTACAACACGGCCTTGTCAGGAAGTTATATCAAATTTACACAACAGAGGGGTGGGAGAGAGGCGTGGGAGAGTGATGTGCAAGGGGTATGCACGAGACCACAATTCACGGGGTATGCGCCTGCCACGAAATCTGCGCGTCAAGAAACAAGTGAAAACTCTAATCACAATGGAGGAACGGACCAGCGACCACTGCCGACCACCGCCAACCACGCAACAGCCAGAGCCTCTAACGGAGCATGGAGGTTCACACAGTGCTGTACCTGCCACGAATTCTGCACATGGAGGTTCACAAAGTGCTGTGCCTGCCACGAAATCTGCTCATGGAGGTTCTGCGCCTGCCACGAAATCTGCACATGGAGCTTCACAAAGTGCTGCGCCTGCCACGAAATCTGCACATGGAGGTTCACAAAGTGCTGTGCCTGCCACCAAAATCTGCACGTCAAGAAACAAGTGAAAACTCTAATCGCAATGGAGGAACGGACCGACGACCGCCGGCGACCACGGCCGACCACGCAACAGCCAGAGCCTCTGACGGAGCATGGAGGTTCACAGAGTGCTGTACCTGCCACGAATTCTGGTGACGTCTCGGTGTGTGTTGTCACAAAGTGCTGCGCCTGCCACGAAATCTGCACATGGAGGTTCACAAAGTGCTGTGCCTGCCACGAAATCTGCACGTCAAGAAACAAGTGAAAACTCTAATCGCAATGGAGGAACGGACCGGCGACCACCGGCGACCACGCAACAGCCAGAGTCTCTAACGGAGCATGGAGGTTCACAGAGTGCTGTACCTGCCACGAATTCTGGTGACGTCTCGGTGCGTGTTGTCACAAAGTGCTGTGCCTGCCACGAAATCTGCACACGGAGGTTCCCAAAGTGCTGCGCCTGCCAGGAAATCTACACATGGAGGTTCACAAAGCGCTGCGCCTGCCACGAAATCTGCGCATGATCTCTGTGTGTGTTGTCTCGGTGTGTGTGATCTCTGTGTGTGTGATCTCTGTATGTGTCGTCTCGGTGTGTGTTGGGCTCCGGGTTTTTGGTTCCCGGATTGGTGTTTTCGGTTCCCGCGGTGCTTTTTCTTCCCGCGTTGGTGTTTTCGGTTCCCGCGGTGCTTTTGGTTCCCAAGTGGGTTTTTGGTTCCCGCGCGGCGGTGTTTTCGGTGCCCGGCTCGGTTTTTTCAGTGCCCGCAGGTGTTTTCAGTTCCTGTGATGGTGTTTTCGGTTCCCGCCTTGCGTTGAAGAGGGAAAAATGCGCAGATGTTTTCGGTTCCCGCGTCCGGTGTTTTCGGTTCCCGCGTTCCGTGCGTTTAGGTCTCCGGTGTTTCTGGTTTTCGCGTCCGGTGTTTTCGGTTCCCGTGTCGGGTGTGCTGTGATCCCGTGTGAAATGGTGGGAGTCTTGTGTTGTCGCGGGACAACGCGAAAGAATTTTTGTAAAGACACGAACAAACACGAACCACCAAAAGCCACAACCACAACCACCACCACCACCGCCCATTGACAAGCTACGTCACACCGACGGCTATCTGTTGCTGCACAGTGACGAAGCTGGTCAGTGCTGGGATTTAAGTTTCAGTGGCACGTCAGCTGGTGGCACAAAGAAAGGGGAGATCTCACAATGTTCCTGGACGCAGCGCATGGAGATAAGTTCAGCCACACCACCATGCTTGACCGCAAGCGCGCCGCACGGCGTGAGCCAACCCACCGTTTGGATCCGGTGCAGGAGCCACCTCTGATGACGGTGTCCACAAACATGGAGGTGTCTTGGTTGCAGCAGGAGCTCTATTTCTTACAGTACTGGTGTTTGGCAGCTTTCACCAAACCCATTGGTTTGGTTCAGCGATGCTTGTTCAGTTTCGGCCGTGCCTTGCCAGCGCCCGAACCATCTTGGAACGCCTTCCGGCGGCAAGTTTTTTTGCCCTTTCTGGAGAGCATCTTTCAGTTCACACTAACGACATTTGGTCCGAAAGCGCCAGAAGCTACGACCCAGCCCCTGTGCATCACGGGAGGCGGATGAGACATAGAAAAGAAGAACCCCACACTAAGATGTGGGGAACAAATTGAACACAACCAGTTGACAAGCTCACAAAGGGTACCCCTCACAAGGGCCGGTCCCCCATCAAAAATCTGGACTACTACCCCCTATTAATTTGATCCTGTGTCCCGGGCCTTTTGTTTGTGCTTGTTTAGAATTATTGTGACTACCTACTACCTACTAACTACTAACTAACTAACTAACTAACTAACTAACTAACTAACTAACTAACTAACTAACTGCTGCTACTGCTACTGCTACTGCTACTGCTACTGCTGCTGCTGCTGCTACGACTGCTACTACTGCTACTACTACTACGACGACGACTACTACGACTACGACTACTCCCTGAGCAAATTATTCAGGGGAGGTGGACCTCATGGATGGTACCTCAGACCTTCTAGACCTTCTAGACCTTCCACGTGTGGGGGGGCGGTATGTTAATCCGGTCTTCGCATTATATATATAATATTAGATAATCTCAGTTTATATACAGTACCTCAAGTGCTCGGAGAGAAAGCATGCAAGCGCGCACCATGCAATTCTCAAGGTCCGTATATATATATATATAACCCGTCTATTTGGAACAATCGCACTGGTCACCCGGTGAGCAACAGCCAGGGTGGTATGCACAACATTTGACAAAGTAAGAGATCCTCAGCGCCGATTGTTCTGTAACACGCACCTGTTGCTCCGTGTAGCGGCTGCCCTGCAAGGGTCAAACAAACATTAATTCTAAGCAGCGTTGTGAAAACTACTTACATCGAAAGTCTAGCACAGCTCTCACCAAGTCTGGACAAACAATCCACACTTGCGGCTCCTTTTGTGGACTTGCACATGTGCACATCTTTGTTGTCCCGGCTCCAACAGCGGTCTGCACACCTAAAGCTTGCAATTTGGGGCACAGGACTGGCACGTGCAGGTTGTGACTGATCCTCATTCAAAGGTTAGGGAAAGCTTGGGAAAATGAACTCGCCAACATCCCTAGACTTAAGTGCGAGCAAGCTACCACGTTCATCACCCACAAGATACCTTCTAGGAACCATTTGGCAGCAATCCTCCTGACACGGCATTGCAGGGGATCCAAAGGATTCCAACTTAACATCGTTACTACATGCTTTCGGTTGAATTGTGTCGGCCTGCCGAAATGAAGTGCATGATCTCACAACAGTAGCGCCTGATCAACCAGGGCACCTATGTCACTTGCCGCTCAAAAGGAGCCAGCATGGGGAAAGTGAACGCGATTTCAAACTAGGATGCAGCCAAAACACACATGTCATCGATCGCCTACAAAGGCCATTTCAGCGTGCTGCTCTGTCAGAGAAACGCACTTTCAAATACGACATGACTTGGCCACCCAACATCCTGCGTTTTGAACTTCAAGCTGGAGGAGTCGGGGCCGGCACAAAAACACCTTGACCGACCCAAAGCAGAACTCTCACTGGCTTGCTGATATTGTCCAGTTCAACACACGGGTTGCAAATTCCAAGCAGGACCTCAAAGTGCTACCCGTTCCAGGGCTCTGTGGGGAGTTGTTTCTTGTTGCCTGTAAAGCTGCATTCCACAAAGTCTTCTTCTTTGGCTATAGGGGTTTCAACTTCTGAGTGGTGTGGCTCTGGATCGGCGTTTTGGCTTTGCAGGTGCTGCCGCCTTGCTGATGTTGGTGCAGGTGCAGGTGCTGGCCGTGGATCGGTTCTTACTTCTCAATGGTGTGGCTCTGGATCGGCGTTTCGTTCTGCGGGTGCTGCTGCCGTGCTGGTGCTGGTGCAGGCGCTGGCTCTGGATCGGCGTGCCGTGCTGGTCCAGGGATGACATCATGTCATGCCCAGGGATGACATCGCGTCATGCCAGGGATGACAAACCTATACACCCGATATCTGGGGTCTATGTCGGTGTCAGTTTTGGCCGTTTTACCAACATCCCAGTGCCAAACTGCTGCTCCGTTCATTCATTGAATGTATCCGACACCTTGAGTAATTGTGGCCTGGCCCTTGTATGACCTTGACAATCTGTGTATGTATATTCATTGCTCCTCTTTTTGCGAATTGGTGGCACACTCTATGTCAGCTTGACTTGTTGGAGCTGTCTAAAGCTCTGTTTAAGGGTAGGAACATGTAGGAACAATGTATGATTCCACCTAAGTCGTCTCACCCGTTGTGGCTGGAACCTGTCAGCAGCTTGTCTCACCAGCGCCCGCTTTGGTGCCAGTGCACAACACATCGCCTGCAGTCAGGCTGCTCAGCATGGTGTCTTTCCTTTTGACAGCAATATGCTGAGGTTCCACTCAAATTTTGCAAGGAAAGGCCCGCCTCTGAGACCTCTCAGGTGGGGCAAATTTATGCAATTTCCAAGTACTTCAAACACTTGTCACAACTGCCATCTGCATCATCCACACACAGCCTCGTCACAGTCGACGTCTGCATGCATTGTAGTGCTGGGCACAGTTGTCGTCTTTGGTGTCGCAGTGGTGGTGCTAGTGGTGATAGTTGACACCCTACTGCACCTGGCCAAAAGTCTGCAAGCGACAGTGATATTAGGCTTCTCAAGGCTGCCTACTTATGACCTGCAATGCAATCGTGAGATCAAGGAATGACAGACTTCCTTGGTCACATCTCTCTGGTGCTGTTGAAGCACCACTGGTCAATCTGAATCTGCGTGGAGTATGTCTCTCCGACAACCTGAGCAGCATTGAGCAGCATAACCAAATGTCTGATGTCTGTGGCAAACATATTCACCTTGAAAAGACTAAGCGAATGGCTGGTCCGCTACACCAGCACCTTACAAACCACTCGCCCAAGCAGCTTCTATCGAGTTCTCTTTTTCAAAACACTAGGAACCAAATGAAAAGTAGTGAATAGATGTGAATAGTGCGAGCGCTTCTTCAAGGAAGCTCCCCCCCGAAGCGTAAGCTATCCTACCACGTCCAGTACCTAATAGCTACTATCTTCTCACAGCGGCCTGCCCGCCCCGGGCTAAAACCAAGGAAACATAGCTTTTTTTGGGGGGGGCCGCGTGTAGAGGTGAGGTAGGTTAGCTTGGGAGTCGGTAGCTAGTAGAAGAGGTAGCTAATTAGTAGCTTACTTAAGCTACTAGTAACTGGATGCAGGATAGCTCACACTTCGGGGAGCTTCCTTGAAGAAGCGCTCACAGCATTCATTTGGTTCCTAGATTTTTAGGGTAACTAGGTGTCCTGCCCATCACGTCCATTGTTGTATCCTTCACTGGCTGAGACAGTCAATCATCACGTCTTAAATTTCAGATTCACGTCTTAAATCAAACCCGTCTTCCATTTCAATCCAAATCCGCCACAGAACTATTTCAGAGTCATGTTGAACGCAGCTGAGCCACGAATCTGCTTTGGCGACCGGGAGCAGCATGTTGCACGCGAGGTCTCTGAGCAAGGCTTGACGATCTGCGCAAGGGAGGCAAGCAAAGCTTGAAGACAGTGTCTAGACATTAGTTTCCCTAAAAGGCTAGGAACCAAATCATTAGTGCAAGCGCTTCCTTGAAGAAGCGTGAGCTATCCTGCGTCCTACCTGGAATCTGACTTATATTATATAGACCTGACCTCACTTAATTAAGTAGGCGCCTAGTTAATGGAGTAGGAGCGGGCGGGCTATACAAAAAAAAGAAAACAAAGAGATGTTGGCTAGAGCCGCCGCCTTGCTGCATGCCTGGTCAATGTGTGCCTGTGAAGGAAACTTTGTACCTCATCAAATGTGAAAAGTGAAAAAGAGCGTGGAGTCTTTTCAATATGATATCATACATATCTGCGTTGTATCAAGAATGCACACACAGTGAGTGTAAATATCAGTAAACTACGGCACGGGAATTACAAGGCTTCCAGCCTAGAGATGGGCCACTGCACCGACACTTTTCTTCAGTACCCTGCATGCACATAACAATCTTGTCACGTCAAATAACATGTCTTCACTACCCTCACATCTGAGCCTGTCGAATTTGTTTTGGGTACATGTGACCTCAAATCGCCGGCAAGACATGTTCAAGTCTCACTTACTCACCTACTGACTACTACTCGCCTACTCATCTACTCTGTATATTTTCTGAGCCACCACTTCACTGGGCTTGCTGCAACAATGACCTTCTGACACTGAAGAGCACGGCTTTATTACTGCAGCGCACCAATCCTGAAACCATAGATCTGAAATCCGCCCTTTTTGGACAGTCACAACAATAGGCAAATCTTGCAGTCTGAGTGGCATCAATGTCCGCCTGCGTGGTGTAGGTGCTGTTTGGCTGCGGACCACCTGAGCGAAGCTGTGTGGGATGTTTCGTTCAACACAGCTTGCTGTATGTGCTCTGTGCTGCGCTCGCGCTGTTTGCTTCAAGTCACTGCACCAGCACTGGTCCTTCCCATCCTCGTGGCGTGTGAGCGGAAATGCGTCATAAGGCGACAACGTGCGACAAAGCATGACCGATCAACGTGTTGGTTTGCAGAGTTTTGTTTGTCTTTTGTTCCTTGACCTTTTCTGGTCTTCTCCTTTAAAATCTCCAAGGGTCATGATGGCGGATCATCTTTGGCAACATGTCGCAGCAAACTACATGGGACAGCTGCTTGCCTGTGCATAGAACAATGCTGTTTCAATCTCTTTGAACACAAAGCCTGTGGACACCTTAACACTATATACTGCTACTGCGATCGAGGCACACGGCTGGATGACCTGTGCAAACACTTGAAGCACCAAGAACCTGGATGGCTCAATTTTTGTGCCTCTTTGCAATACTTGTCGATGTCATCTTGGGTTGCAAACTTTCCACCTTAGTTTTCTCAGCGATGGCAAATTTAAGCACATTGCTTTTTGTTGTGCATCTTATGTGAACAGGGCATGCATCTGGAGCCATCCTCTCAAGAATTTCGCCAACAACCTGCTGTGCTAGGCGACTAGCTGCCTTCGGGCCCTCCACAAGCACAATTGTCATCACCAGCATCTATGCGGACTTTCTTTGGAGACCTCCATGTGCACATTCCAATCATGAACCAAGCGATGGTCAAATAAATGGTGGTGGCTGCTTTGCAATCGACAACAAAGCCGCGGGCAATCCACAACAGAAGCCCGATGGCATATCACTACCTTGGCGGAATGAGAAGTACTGCTAAATTGAAGTGAAGTAAGCAGTGGTTCCTCTGAACACTTTTGATTGCTGTGTTGATGCTGAGGCAGGGGCACTGCAAGCCACTCAAACTTGAGCTGTTCAGAGATTCCACCATTCCCTCGGAGTCGACCTTGCTTCATGCGAGTGATCGAGCGGGAGCCATGTATCATGTGATAACCAGTCTATTAGGCGGTACACTTCAACCCCCTTGACATCTCCTTCACCCTACAGATTGGACCTGGGTTCACTTCTGCCTGGAAAAATCACACCAACCATGTGTCTTTGGGCCCGAAGGAAATTCTGTTCAGGTGCTGGGTCACATACAAACAAAAAGACAGGATAGGATTAAATATGCACTTTGGATCATTTTGGCCTCTTGACCACCTTCTGTGGCAATTCTGGAGTCCAATGATAGCTTCATGCCAAGGCACTGTAGTTTCTTCAGCATCACTGATCACAGTGCCTGCCACTGACCAGAATGAGCCCGACAAAAAGGTTGAAACAGTTGCATGTTCATAGTAACAAGAAGCTACTAGGGGCTCCTGGCATCGCTACTAGGAACAAGTGCCTTACTTCTAGTAACAAGAAGCTATTAGGCTATTAGTAACAAGTGCCACGCTACTAGGAACAAGTGCCTTACTAGTAGTAACAAGAAGCTATTAGGAACAAGTGCCACGCTACTAGGAACAAGTGCCTTACTAGTAGTAACAAGAAGCTATTAGTAACAAGTGCCACGCTACTAGGAACAAGTGCCTTACTAGTAGTAACAATAAGCTATTAGGAACAAGTGCCACGCTACTAGGAACAAGTGCCTTACTAGTAGTAACAAGAAGCTATTAGGAACAAGTGCCACGCTACTAGTAAGGCACTTGTTCCTAGTAGCGTGGC